TCTCTCTCTCTCTCTCTCTCTCTCTCTCTCTCTCTCTCTCTCTCTCTAAGGCTCGGTCTACACTAACCCCCCAAATCGAACTAAGGTACGCAACTTCAGCTACGTGAATAACGTAGCTGAAGTTCGAAGTACCTTAGTTCGAACTTACCTCGGTCCACACGTGGCAGGCAGGCTCCCCCGTCGACTCCGCGGTACTCCTCTCGTCTAGCTGGAGTACCGCAGTCGACGGCGAGCACTTCCTGGTTCGACTTATCGCGTCCAGACAAGACGCGATAAGTCGAACCCAGAAGTTCGATCGCTCGCCGCCGAACTACCGGGTAAGTGTAGACATACCCTAAGATACTTCTATGGCTCCCGTTACTGTGCTATCCGAGCACCTCAATCTTTTAAACACTCTTTTTCTCTGAGCACCCCTGCGAGGTAGGGAAATATTGTTATCCTCATTTTATAGGTGGTGAACTGAGGCACAGAGAGGCTACGGGTAAATTTTTCAAAAGCACCTGAGGGGATGTCTACACAGCATTTTGGATTGAGCCTCCCAGCCTGGGTCGATAGACTCAGTCTAGCAGGGCTTGAGCAAATGCTCCAAAAACAGCTGTGTAGAAAGTGATTTGAAGTGGTAGCTTGGGCTGGAGCTTGGGGTCAGAGTCTGAGTCTATTGATCTGGACTGGGAGGCTCACTCCAAAATGCTGTGTAGCTAAAACCTAAGTGACTTGGGCACTTAAGTCAGATTCTTTCAGTGGGACTTGGACACCTAAATTAGTCACTTATGAAAAATTTGCCATGCAACTTGCCTGAGGTCATACAGGTAGTTTGTAGTACAGCAGGGACTTGAATCCATGTCTCCCAAGTCCTAGGTTAGTGTCCTAACCACTGGACTATTAGTTAAACGTGATTTAAAACAATACTTTACCTCAAGCCTTTGTCATAAGATTTAGAGCCTTCCATATCTATGGCACTAGTTCAAACCCAGTTCGGGACAGGAACTGAGCATCGCCTGGGGGCTGATCAGTAAAATGCTTTTGGTGATCTTATTTCAGATAACAGCAGAAATGTCTCCACATTAGAAACCTCTACTGCCATAACTGGTACTAACTGTCATTCTTGTTAGAAGTCTGAGCAGAGCGGATTGAATGGGCATATTTATTTATTGGCATTTCTATGGAATTCATCACTGTAATATCTGAGGTCCTCACAAATGTTAATTTAGCCATCAAAACTCTACTGTGAGTCCGGTAATAATTATTATTGCTCCCATTTTACAGATGGGAAAATGAGGCACAGGAAAGATTAATGACTTGCCCAAACTCACATGGGACTGAGGTGGGAATAGAAACCCAGATCTCCTGACTATCTGATCCTGTGCCTTAACCACAAGGAACATCTTTCCTCCTCAAAGCATGGAGAATGACATTCTTCACTTCTAAAAGGAAACCTCCAGGTTAGGGGTTGGGCACATTGGCTGGACAATGTAGGAATCTTGCAATGCTACTGTCTGAATTGCAGGTACAGTGAAGGTTTCAGTATCCAGAACTGTAACTGACACAATTTGTATGTCCATTTAATAGCGTGTAAATCTATCATCTTGCATTTCCCATTTGTTGCTGGGTTGCTTCAGTCATTCCTGGCTGCACTACACAAAAAAACAGTGCAATATTTCTGAAGCAGCCAGATAAGCTGTGCCACAGTGTTCTGTGTTTGCTTTAAACTGTGCAGCTGAAATATACAGAAGAAGAGGGTAGGTCATCTTTTGTTTATAATCCTGTAGTCTGGAGAGATTCTTTCCAAGAAAAATATTGAAGGAAGGACTACTTAAGAAAGTAAAGATAGCATCCACTCTCAGTATAGGTTAACGTTAGGCCAATTTAGAGTACCAATTTACAATGCTATTCTCAATCCTAGATTACAAAAATATAGCACTTGGGAAAGGGAAAATAGCAGACAGTATTTCTTCTTACTGGATGGGTTTTTGTGTGTGTGCGTGTGCACACATGTACCTGTACATATTCAGCTTTATTTGGGACAGTATATTTTGGCATGATTTATTTTAAAATTCCACATAAATAAAAATTATTAGCTATAATTTATACCACTTAAATAACCATTTCATACACTCCATACAGTTGACATCTCACAGCAAACCACCAGAAATTGCAAGAGGACTTTTCAAACCCTACATCCCAGTGTTGCAAAGAAAGGCAAAAGCCAAAGAAACACCTGAAGAAATCCACCGATATGTGCCCCATCACCCACTTCAGAACAGTACTACTGGATCTCCATTGATACATTCTGGAAATGTTACTTCAGTTGCTAATGTATATAAGCATAGAGATGAAAATGGTAACAATGAGGAATATAATGTAGGTAACTTGAATGAGAGTGAAGAATGTACCACCAAAAAAGGGGCCTTCAACAGAAAAAATATAGATTTGTCCTCTCTAGACACAGAAAAAAAAGATGAAAGAAATCCAAGACAGCTGAAAGAACAGCCTGACCTAGAAATAAATGAAATAAAAAAACAGATAAGGAACAAATTAATGCTTGGTGCAGAGCAGCAATCCAAATTACTTGATTTGAACAATGCAGATCTAGGTGGAACAAAACCAGAACATCAAAGCCAAAGAATGCTGGAAATTTCAGAATGGAAGGATGTTGATGGTAATAGGGGAAAAAACATATTCAAGCAATCCAGTCTTTCTGTGCCTCTTCCATTTGCAAATGATACTTTGCCAACTTCGTCAGCAGACACAAAAGATATTCCAAAGAGTCCAGACAGTTCTGTAGAAGAACATCTGTCTAGCCAACCGAAATCACCATTGAGACTAATTGCCAATGCAATAAAGAGATCCATTCTAGAACCTCTTGTGTCTCATCCAGAAAGCATAAAAAAGAACCCAGACAGTAAAGCCAACCCTACTTCAGAACACACCTTTTTCAATTCCCCTAATACTTTTGGCCGCTCTGTACGTTTAAGGAACAGTAACGGTAATAGTGAACATGACGTACAGCTACAAGAATCTAATGGACTGGAAACTAGAAGCTCAGTAACAAACCCACCTAGTCTTTCCTATAGTCTTGAAGAGAAATCTTCATGTGATTCCACAGAGGTATTGCTTCCGGTTTACAGTTTGCACACAGGTCCTTCCAAAGCTGCTGCTAAGCCTGAAAATTCATCTGGTGCAAAGACGGAGGATGTACCCAGACTCCTAGAAAACTTTACTCTTAAAGAAACTCCACTGAGTGCTTCCACTGATGACTTATGTATTTGTAACCAGAAGAACCTTCCTTTTTCATCTCTAAGTCTCAAGAACAAAACTTCCGAGGACATCCTTGGAGATCCTGCACAAATGAATGATATCTGCTCGCTCTTTAGTAACTTGAGGAATAAAGTCAATGAAAGGGAAAAGAACGATTCCTTAAAGTCATCTATGTCCTTCATTAACAACTTTTCCCCAGAAAAAGTGCTAAATAATCCTTCCACTGATGAGGACTCAGGTAAATAGGATTGTTCATTTTAAATAATACAATTTTTTAAAGTTTAATATACATATGCATTAATTATTGTAAACAATTTCTTTGCCTTTTATTTTGTGTGTGTTTATATTGAAGTTATGCTATTTAAGGAAAATTTAAGAAATGTTAATTTTTATTAAGAATATTGATTAAAACTTGGAAGATGATTGAAGCATTTAACAGGAGAAAAATGTACTGCTAACCAAGGATCAGAGGTCCAGGCTCAAGTCTGGTTCTCTGTTCCTTTGGGTTCAGACATGACTGTGATAAGCGCAATGTAAATACTGAGATAGAAAGACAGGTGGGATGGAAAACTTTGTAGAGGCTACCTGAGGAGTAGTGGTTGCCATGATGTTAAATGTTCTGATGGAGGAGGGATCAAGTAGGCTAAGTTAAAAGCCTAGGAGAGGAGGGCAGAAGATCCCACTGTGGGAAAGAGGGAAAATACCAGTTATTTATGTGAACTCATGGCCTGACTGATATTGCTATTGAATGATGTCAACCCAGTTAAGAACATAGGAATTTCCATACTGGACCAGACTTATGGTCTATTTAGTCCAGTATCTTGTCCATGACAGTGGCTGGCAACAGACACTTCAGGAAAAGATGTAAGAAACCTCACAGTGGATAATTATGAAGTAATATGCCTATAGGGGAAACTTTTTTCTAATCCTCAACCTCATTTGTCTTTTGCCCTGAGAATGAAAGCTCGAGTTCCATAAGTATATTGTATGTTGTATAAAAAGCATTGGCTCTTATTAGTGTTACAGTTTTTGCTTTTCAATGTTATTGAATGTCCCTCTATTCTTGTGGTATGAGAGAAGGTAAACATTAGCACCTGGTTAACCGTCTTTACACTATTCATTATTTTGCTGCTCTAGTCACTGATTATGAATAAGGCTATGGTTTTGTCACAGAGGTCACTGAATCTGTGACTTACAAAGACCTCCGTGACTTCAGCCCTGGGAGCTGCTGGGTCCCGCTGCCTCCCGCAGCGACAGGGAGCTGTAAGGTACCCACTCCCCGGCTTGAGGCAGTGGGCCCCCAAGCTCTCAGCCACCATGGGCAGTGGGGATCATCTGTTGCAGCAGACGGGGATCCCCGCAGCTCCCTGCCATGGGGTAACGGGATCATCCCGGCCACTCCACGCCGCGGGGCAAAGGGACCCTGGAGCTCTGAGCCCCCACTGGTGGTGGAGGCCCCAGAGCCCCCAGCCACCCCACAGCTGCGCAGCCCCTTCCCATTTTATCATGGATCTTTTTAGTAAAAGTCAGGGACAGGTCACGGGCTTCTGTGAATTTTTCTTTATTGCCCATGACCTGTCCGTGACTTTTACTAAACATATCCATGACAAAATCTTAGCCTTAATTATGAACAACCATTCTTTTTTGGGAAGCAAGTTAGTTACTCTGCTGCTGCAAGGAACCCTCACAATCCAAGTAAATGCTAATAACAAGGAAATTGGAATATATATCGGTGGCAGAGAGAGATGAACATGAACGGAGTCTGTGAAAGTTTGAATGCTTTCAGGCCTGATCTCATGAGTTGCTGAGCACCCATTGCTCCTGTGGAAGACCCTAGACTAGAGAGCACTCATCACCTTGCAGAACTGAGTCCTTACATTACCAAACATTATAGCCCACTGCTTAGGAGAACAGTAAGTAGTACATCCTTGCATGGATAAATGAGGTGACGGGCAATTGATGCTTTAATGCCTGTGACCCTTTGAGTAGGAACAAATCTGTGAATGCTGAAATGTTACATCATTAAAACATGCTGTTTCAACTGATTTAAACATATCCAGTGTGAGAAATGACTCTGAACTTACATGCGTGGATCAGAGAAATTGATGTGAAAAATGGAAGTACAGTTAAACGAATCAGTGTTTTATTTAAAAATTAATTGTGCTTGTAATAATGGCCTCATTAGGATCCAGAAACTTGATGGTGACATTGCATTTCACTGCTGTTCAAAGAGACAGAGGTTCAGCTGTAGGTTTGAATCTGTTGTCACTAAGGCCAGGGAAAGATGAGCAGCTTGGGAACTTGATGATGCTAGTATTTTGGAAGCTGGGTTAGCTGCATTTCTCTCAGGCTACTGCAGCACATTCACTTACGTTGTTAGTTTTGGTTAAGCTTCCATCCTCTTCCCACTGTGCTTAGTTAGAAGCAAAATGACTGAGCAGACACCTTTTCGATTGGGAGAAATAATAGCATGAGGGAAGGATATGGGAAAGTTCTGACATTATTGCACCAAGACCATGATCTGGAGTGCCTGTTTAGGGAAACTTGCAATATAAACAACCCCAACTTTTCTCAGTTCCCTTTTATTATTGTTCTTGTCCACATGTTATCCCCTGCCTTAACACACTGAGTCTAAAATCAAGATTTTACAAGAAGACTGAGTCTTCCAAAATGTACAAGACTATAGCAATGTAAACGTTCAAGTTATGGCCTCAGAAGTGATATGAAGTTTCTTTAAAACCAGGACAGGAAAGAGAGACTATAGCTACAGTACTATGTATTGACTGGATGTGGTCTCAACATAGCAATAAATATTGGGAGTTGACCCTTCTTGAAAGACAGTTTTGCTTTTAACACATCGAAATTCTCTTTGCGTTTCATGTGTTCTCCTTGGAAGTCCATTATGATTTAAGTAAGTTTGAAATATAAACCTATTGAATCCATAAAATACATTTTGATCCAAACCCGCTTTATTTTGTTAAAACTGATCCAGTGTTTAAATAGGTCCAGCAAAGGGCTAAATTCTGACAGGTGTTGAATCACACTGAAGTCAGGATTTGGTCTTCGATCATCTCCTACTCATGGAAAGCAAGAACCAAGGCTAGAAGTAAGGAAAATCCTCCAAAATATTCCCCTTTTAAAATACAAGAAAAAAATAACTTTATGCTTGGGATGGCCCCTCCGTGCAGAATCAGTTTCACCCTAAGGCCTGTGACCATTGAAGATCCCTTTAATTCCTAAAATAAAGCTTAAGTAGGAGTTAGGTGGTTCAGAGACTTTGTACTTGCCCTCTGCATAGCAGTGAATTTCACCCGTAGTGGGCTCACAAGCACTGAAATCTTTCCGTGTGTTCTCAATGCTCCAGCACTACTGTGGAACTATTCTGACATAGCGATGGAGCTGAAAGAGCAGTCTGGGTCCTTGCATACAAATGAATATACCAAGTATCCCAGTATTCTTTGGAAATCTTATCTCCAGTGCTACACCAGTGAATAGCTTTTGAACTTGCGTAGCTTTTACACATCAGGTAACCAGTATGAGAATTGCTTGTCTGCACCTCTCACAATCAAGCCCTTAGTGTAAACCCTTAGAATTCTTCCTATTCAAACTAGCCTTTGGTATGACTATTGGAACATTCCTTGCTGCAGGGACAGTCCTTATTATAAGCAAAGTTACTTAATAGACCCCTGAGGCAAGAAAGCTTTCTGTCAGATTCTTTCCTACCCACTGCACCCATTACACTGAAACAAGACATTTTTACCTCACACTGGGCTCATTTGTAAGTCCCTAAGGTAGCAAAGGGTATTCACGGACGTAACGGAGTGCACTCACCCCTCGTGAATTCCCCTTTGGCCGAGTGCGCATGCCTGCACACACGCGCTCTCTCTCTGATTGTCCCTCCTCTGGGATAAAGCAACACCCCAGGGCTCCCTCCCTGGAGACAATGTCTTTGCCTTCTTGGGGCTTCCTGGCTACAGCTCTGTAGTTCAGTTCCCCTTCCGGGGTGCCTCACTGTCCAGGCCGCTTCCCCCCAGTGGCTAATGGGGGGTGGGGAAGGGACACGGGCCTGCTGGTTTCTCACCTAAATGAAGACTCCTGGTGTCGTAACATCCTCTTTGAGTGGGTAGGGGAGACTGGGTCCGCCGTCTCCACCAGAGTCTGTTCTAGGGCCCAATGTGGGCAGCTACATCCAACACCATGGGATGCTAAGCTGCTGCCCCCCCATACCCTAGACCACTTCCTACTGCAGTCTCCTTTAGCTTCCCAGAGTAAATCATTTCAATCAAGGCTCTGACCCCCACACTCAGTCACGTACCTCTACTTGGTGGGTTTGCACAGGTCTGTGTTGTCAGGTCTTAGGCAATGAGCTCCTGGGCAGTACTTTCCCCTCCGAGCAGCCACCTGCTCCCTTCCGCTGCCTGCCTCTGAACTGCTCTGCTCCACTTTTTTGCTTCCAGTTTGTGCAGGCTTTGCAGGAGTGGCTGGGCAGAGATGCCTGGGCCCAGAGCTGCTCCTTAACCCCTTGCTCCCCAGTGTGGGCTTTACATACCCCATCACATTTGGGCAAGTCATTCTACGTGCCTCCATTTGTAAAATGGGGATATTCATAAATACCACAAACTATAGAAATGCTCAATATTTTTCATTGTGCACAGGATCACATATTAAACACATTATCACCACTAATTGTGATTGAGTATTTTTATTTGGCCTAAATACCTTTCTGCCTTCAGAAGCCCTGATCAAGAACTTTTCCATGAAGGGGCATTGCTAGTTATCACTTAGTTGCTTGGTGTCTTCTAACAATGCTTATACAATGTCCCTTGAAAGACTGGACTTTTTACAGACCATCTAAATTGATTTCCCAAGCAGAATAAGAGACAGATGCCTGACATTCCAGAATACATAAGGTGACAGGCACTGTTGGGACTATACTATTAATCCATTTTATGTAAGGACACTGACTTCTTCATCCTCTGGTGATGGCCCTTGTCCTAAACCCGTAGGGAAGTGAATGACTCTGCCTCTGTTCCAAAAAGGCAAACAACTCCCAAGTCGGAGTCCCTTGAGAAGGAGACAGGTGCTTTTGTATCACAGAAGGCTGTTTATCCTGTAGACCTTGTAACACTTTTTAATTATTGATGTAACTCAGAGAGGAGGACAGAGGAAGGCAATAATTTATTTCCACTGAAGAAAGAAGAAAGGGAGCATGTAATTGATTGTGTTGCCAACCCCACCAGAAAATTTTGTCAAGCTTAAAAATTTGCATTTTATGGAATTTTATTTCAGTGACAGTGTGATCAGAAGAAAGATACTGGAGATATTTGGTAAAGAACAGAGGAAAAACAAAATCAAGTGAGAGATGATATTTGAATGAGTTAAACCATCAAAAGAAACAAGACTGCAAGCCAGAACCCAGCCCCTAATTCATTCCTTTTTACCCATTCTCACAGCGTGAAGACTGTCTCAGAGAATTTCCCTGGATAACATAAAGCTGGCATAACTGGCTATCCACTGCTGGCCCTACAGTGTTCTAGACATGCCGAGTTAGGCATGACCTTTCTGTACACTGGCAATCATGATCAGCTGATCAGTCCCTAAAGGGCTATTCTAGCAGGTGCAAGTTAGAGCCACTCTGACTTGTACCCTGTCCTCTGCTCTAAAGATGGGGTGGGGAGTGGAAAGCTCCACATTGTTCCCATACATAGAGTACAGCTCAGGCACACTTGGGGATGTGGCCCTGTGTCTTTCAGAATGCTAACTGTAAAGTGGCTTCTTGAGTCTAGACAGCTCCTCTTTTTATGAGTAACTGTTTTTCTTGACCTGTGTAGCTCCTCGAAATCTTATGAAGACCCATTCTGCTCTCAATTAGACCTTTCTAAGCCTGCAACTTCATTAAGGTCAGTGGTTTGGTGTGAAGTCAACGGAGTTATTCCATGATTAACATTGATGTAACTGAGGCTATGTCTACACTAGAGAGCTTACAGCAGCACAGCTGAGAGCTCTCCCATCAATATAATTAAACCACCCCCAATGAGCTGCGGGAGCAGCTCTTCCACCGACATAGCATTTTGCACACTGCCACTTAGGCCAGGGTAACTTTTTTGTTGCTCTGAGGGGCGGTGTTTTTTTCACACCCTGAGCAACATAAATTTTGCCAACCTAAGTGGTAGTGTAGACATGGCCTTATTGCGAGCAGAATTTGGCCCTCTATTGTTGTGCTTGCTACCATTTAGTTACTTTTCTGGAATGAACATGTTTCAGTGACTCCAATTTTAAAGTCTTTTTAGAGACAGAAATTACATCTGCTTTTGAAGGGTTTGGATTCACAGTGAAACAAATGAGAAAAGGAAGGGAAACTTACAGTGAGGGGAATGGGAAGTGATCATATTCCAAATAAAACTTGCATTCATATACTGGATTATAGCAAATCAACAGTTACCTGGCAAACGCTAAGCAAGAAGTCATTGATCCCTTTAAATTGTGTGTACTCCCAAGATGCAGTCCAGTGCAGATGTTAATCATTAACCTGCAGCAGGTTGAAGTGTGGAGACAGATGTTCCTGGAGCAGTTTTATTTCTTTAAACAAAGAGAATAAAGATATGAATTAGACAGATAAATTGAGAAGAACAAAACAGCCAGCTAGAACAAGACTCTGGTGAAATGGGCATAATAAAATTGTTGTAGTTAAATATACATTAATTTGTATCCCTGAATGCATGTTTTTCCCAACGATATCTTTTGAATTTCCCTCACAGTATATTGTTGTGAGGTATGGATTTTCCTGACTTATTATGGGCATTTTAATCAACAGTTCAATGATGTGATAATATTCTTAAGACAGAAAAATAAAAGTGACATTTGTTTAGACATAATTAATGAAATATTTATGTTGCATGAGACTATGTGATAAAACCTTGTTCTCTTAGTCCATTTGCTTCTGATTACATTTGTGATTTTTTTATATGACCAGACATTCTGACGCCAGCTATTTTACACTGAGCAGATGTCATGTAGTAAAAATGGGTGCCAGATGCTAGAAGCCACAAGGGTAATTTGTTTAAGAGCTGGCTCAGACTTTTTGCATTCAATTACACCGCATGGTGAGCCTTACACAATCATTTAAGTAATATGGCTAACTTCAGATATGCTTTTTAATAACAAATTTCATTTCTGAATACATTTTGAGCATCATGCTACATAGATGGCGTTTAAGGAATTAATTGATTGATACATAATACTGGTATGTTTAAAAAAGAATTCCAAATAACAAGCAGCAAAGGCTTTGGACAGTGGCCAAAAATTTAATTAACATGATCAGCCAAATTTCCAAATTGCCTTTAGGTGCAACCTAATAAAGCTCAGGGCAGGTGCATTATGCAAGTGGTTAGGGTGAATGTCCATATGTCTCAAGGGAGAATACTTCCTGCTTCACTTTGTTCTTGCATTTTAGGCTCCGAACACCTATCTGTCAAAAAACAAGTGACTACGTGTTGTTGTTCTTCCTCTGATGGTGAATTTGAACACAAGCCTTCAATAGCACTCAAGGTAACCTTTACTTGGAAACAAAAATAAGCTTTCACTGTTGAATTATACTTAAGATTTGTGTGATTTTGATTTTAAAATAGAACAGTTTTGGGGGGTGTTGACATGTAAACGTAGTACTGTAATATATAACGGATTGAACCACATCAGGTCTCTTTCCGAAAGACAGGTACCAGAATTTCTTGTACCTATCAGAACTGCCCTCCCAGGTTATAAGAATTTTGACAGAGATGTATTTCATTTGAATAACAGACATGCTTTACATAAACCACTTTGAAGCTGCATTTCTTAAGTGGTTTTAATATGTAGCCCAACAAACAAACCATTGAAAAAATTAAAACAAACAGATGCAGATTTCCCTTGGGGAAACACCACTTCATTTAAAAAGAACTACAGGCAGATTGCATGGAAAATGTTATATTTATTCTAATCAGAAATATTAAATGAGCCATGCAGTCCCATCACGAAATTATACCCCCAAAATGCCTACTGAATACTGAGCTCAGATAGGTCTAGTTGTGTTTCTGTATCTAATAGGAAATAAGAGAGCTAAAATACCAATGAGGTTTTGCTCTTCATCTCTTACTTGCAGAGAGAGATTCTGTAGGCTGAATGACTCATCAGAGACTTGTTTACCCTTTCTCTGAAAGTGGAGGGGCTTCAGTAAGTAGCATCAGTAGATGGCCTAACTAGAGAGGTTGCTTGATTAGGAGGTGGCATTGTGAGTTGTTGTTTTGTTTTTTAAATTAAACAAGTTAATGTTGGTAGTGTAACCCACACACCTTCTGGGTGTGGTGTTCTGTCCCATCTAGTGGTGGGGAGGGAGAGGAAGAGAGAGAGAGAAAATGAGTCTGCTCTACAGCCTTAGCTAATAGCCTGCTGGCTTTTAGCTTATGCTGTAGAGGCTCATGCACTAAGCACCAGAGGTCCCCGGTTTGATCCCGCCTGCCAATGACCGGGGTCTGTTGGCATTACAGTAGCACGCTGCAACCCAGAAGGATGAACTGAGGTTAAATCAGGCTTGGAATGACCAAAACGTGAAGGGCCCAAAATCCAATAACCTATTTCCACAGGAATCACAACATTTTGAAATACAAGGGTATGACACTTTCGGGCTTACCTGAGGTGTCCAGGGTTTATCCCAGCCCACAGCAGGAAGGAGCTCTGTCGCCTGCCAACCAGGGGAACACTCCCTAGCCACTAGCTGCTGGCAACATAGGCACTCTGCTCCAGGCTCCACAAGACCTACTTTTTCCTCCTGCAGGCTAGCAGTTTACACACACCACTTTGTTACACTGGAGTGCCCAGTCCCCTATCTTCTGGACCCACAATGTACTCCTATCTGCTGCCTCTGTGGAAGCAGTGCAGCCCAGTTCACTGGTTTCACCTCAATTTGACACTCTCCTTAGCACAAGGCACTTAGACTTGTCTATAGTGAAACCAAATTGAAGTTTATTTAACAAAGCTTGAGATACAAATCCAAAAAAACGCAAGTATAACAGTTTGGAGACACAAGGTTACAAATAAAAGAAAACCCTAAAACGCAATCTATAGCCTATACTTATTAGACAGGAAAGTAACTTTTTAATAAGGTATTTCTCACCCAATGGTTAGTCCTTGCAGCACTTGTCCAGTTCAGAAAACTGGAATCCTATCATGAAACCCACCGACAGGCAGAGTTTCTCCTCTGTAATGGATAACAACTTGTTGCCATTTCTTCTGTGCTTATGCAATTACAGGCTATTGTCTCTTAGCCCAGGGGGCCCCCTCTTCAGAGAGCTCTCCTTTGTCTCAAGTCTTCACCTGGTCCAGGCAGTAGACCAAGTGTTGTCTCCATGGATGCCCATTGTTCTCAGCATTGATTGAGTTAGCCATGAGACCCTGCCTCACCTCAGATGACAAGTCTCACTTCAACAGTTTTGCAACTTAATATGCTACATTTTGCATGTCTCTTAAACTATTTCCCATGCAAACATCTGACAATAACCATGACAATCAGCTAGTTCTTAGCTTTCGGCAGAAACCACCCACGATCCCCTTCAGTGAAATATTGAGAAAGTGGTCAGATACAGAGGTAATATACCTGCCTGGGTATGTTTGTGTCAAAAAGGGTAAAGGTGCATTGAGGAAGCAAGGCAGCAAACCAACTAGTGTATTTTTCAAAGGCGCAGATTAATATTTTGAAGGAGTAAGCTGATCTGTTCCATTTGACCCCAATCTTTCCCTCCCAAACTCATCAAAAGATGTGCAAGAAATATCAATTTAATCTTTGCAAAAACTTGGCTTAGAGGGAAGGACTTGAAAAGTAGAAAGGGTGGCCCCTTTCTTCAGTTCTCAAGTTACATTTGTCTTTTGACTGCTGCTCCTCCCACTGCTCCTACCTACAATTCCCCAGCAAACATGTCTCAAACAGACAGTTTAGGAGACATTTCCAGGGTGGCAGAGGCTCTCCCACATGTCCATCCACATGCACTGGCTCACCTACGTGGAATGGAGATGCAGCAAATGCTTCCCCCTCACTTTGATGTTTGAGGCTACAAGCAATGTTATGTAATTTTTTTAATTTATTTTTTTACCAATTATTGGCTCTAACAGTGTTTCAAAGGTTTCCTGGGTATTCTGTGTTGAAGACATCAGTTGTTTGTAAAAGAAAAATGAGTAAGTGATGGTTCAGAGACAGATCTTGTTAAAATCAAACACCAGAAGCTTCAAAGAATAAAGCCCTTTAAATAAACACAACCAAAAACCACAAAGTGTGAGGAGAAAGAACCAGAAAAAGGAACTGAAATAAAAAAAAATAATAATGGTGGATTAAATGAAATACAGAAAACATATAGGTGAAAAAGAACAAAGAAAACAAATACAGGCATGAACTGAACAGGAATGAGTTTCAAGAATTCAAACAGCGGCAGGCACAAAGGGACATACGGTAATGAGCAAAGACTAGCACTAACCTATGTCAGGTGGAATACGGTGTAAATGACAAACGACAGCACAAACCAGTGGCAGTGGCTCAGGCCTGGCATTTCTTGCCCTATTTTGAGTCACATCCACTATTAAATGTATCAATTCATCTCAGTTGGCGCCCAGTGCCAGTTTACATACCAGTTTTGCCTCGTATCTTAAAGATGTTGCCATGCTCCACTGACCAAACTGAAGAGAAACTGAAATGTAGCATTCTCAGAGAACTGGCTTCTAGACTTCTATTTTCTTGTCTATTATGCTCTTATTTCCTGTCTTTCTTTTTCCTTGAGTGGGAAATCATGACTGGTCTTGAAACATTTTCAGATCATATAAGTGAGGAACAAGATTAAACAGTGCATGCCACTCCCTATATGAACCCTTTAACAATTGCTTTGTTTGTACTTCTTGGAGGGCATTGCAGTGGTCAGTGATTTGTGTCCATAAAAATGTTCCCATTGCAACATACCTGTAACTTGAAAAACGAAGGGTGTTGGTTATCACCGGGAAGAGAGGGGACAAAAAAGAAAAGAAAAGGATGCTCTTTAATGGCAATAATTAAGCTGCTTTTGGAGAAGACAAACATTATCCAGTTTCAGATGCTAACGTGATTGTTGCACTGCTTCAAACTACATCAATCTTGTTACATTACAAGCTGCCCAAAGTGAACTGCTGTTGTATAATATGACTGACTTCAGAATTGCATCAGAGTTGATTAATAAACAGAGGGCCAGATCCTCTTCTGGTATAAATTGCCACACTAGCTAGGGATCAAGCCCAGTTGTTTTTGGAAAGCATATTTTTACATATAATATAAAATTTTAACTAACAAAGAAATGATTATTTACACAAAGGAAGTGAATATTTAGTGACGGTCGGATACAGTAAAAAATAGGTCATGTTTTTCATAGGAAGCTGGTACTTTCTGTTCTCTGGTAACCATGATGTTCACCGAAGTTCTTGTGAGATGTGTGGTTATAGGCGTATAGCTGTGTAGCTCTATTGATCCAATTTTCCCTTCATTGACAGAAATAGCTAATGCTTAACTAGGGATGCAGTGAGGGTCTTTCTGATAATGTCTTAATGGCTGAGAATAAACCTAGCTGAGTGAATCAAAAACTACTTAACATTTTCAGCTGGCAAAAGTCTATGAAAATCTAAGATGACTAAGTACAGGGTATTGATTACCTTCTTTTCTCCCCTTACTCTTGTAGGCAAAAAGGACCCTTAGAAGAAGGAGAAAACTAGAAAAGGAAACAAAGCAACTGGTTAAACAAGAGGAGCTGAAAAGACTCCATAAAGCCCAGGTGACAAAGTAAAACTGAGCTCGTGTCACACTTAAGGGTATTTTGTGGGTGGGGGAGAAAAGAGGGTGATGGGGGTGTAGTATGTAGTGTGAGGATATTTGTCCTTTTAAATAATTTGTGAGCCCTCTAGTGATGCTTACTGTGTTTTATGTTGCAGAAGCTCTCGGAAAGCAGTCAGAGCAGCAAGATGTACGCCGCTAGCCTTGCATGTTTATCTATAGTTAGTAAAGATGATTTATTTGGAACCCAACTGTGCCCATGTAGCTCCTTCATACTATTTTTATTGTCCTATAAAAGCAAAAGATGTAACAATTGGTGACGAGGATGAACACCTAACTCAGGAATACAGTGGAATAGAGAGTGACTGCAAAGACCATTGAAATTTAAACAAAAAGGGCCTGCAAGTAAACTGCTAATTTAGAACGGATAAAAAGGAATACTACCCTATTACTATACACTAGAGAGGATTAGGAAAAACAATTTTTTTTCTGTGCCTCAGTTCCCCTACCTGTACAATGGGAATACTAATTCTTCCTTTGTTAATTGTGCAATAAGATGGCCCTCTGTAAAGGCTCTTTTCTCCAGACAAAGCAGAAGGAACTCTAGATTCTGTCCATGGTGACTCATACAGTTGTGCACTTGACCCCTCCTATTGCAAGTATCTGTCATGCAGTGTTTTGTGAGCACACTTCTCAATGAGTTGATCTCAAATGGTGTCTGATTCTAATGTGCCAAAATCACAGGTCATAGTTAACTCTCTTAACACATGTACATATGAGTTGCATTCTCTGTCTGAATTTGCATTGTTCAGGTATTACAGGCTAGATTTTCAAAAGTGCTCAGCTCCCATTTTGGCTCCTAAATGAAGTTCTCAATGGGATCTGCTGGGTGCTGAATTCTTTTTTGAAAATCTGGCCCTACAAATTTATGTGGAGCATCAAAGGCCACTTTTGCCTATTCAGACATACCTTTCTTTGAGGCAGGGACTGTCTCTCACTATATGTTCGTACAGTCTCCGTTTCAACTGGGGCCTCTAGGTGTTACTGTAATACAAAGAGTAAATATGTATATATACAGTGAAACCCCACTATAATGCAATGATTGGGGTCCAAAAAATTCGATCGCGATAAATGCGGGGTCGCGGTATAGCGAAGTTTACCATTTCAAGCCGGTCAGTTTCAAGCTGGTCAATTTCTCTTGAGCAGAAAATGACTTGCCTTTGCGAACTGCCCCTAACAGTAACTGAAAGGGTGCAGCTCCAGCAGTGGGGGCTCTCAGCCATGCAGCGAGAGAGGGAAACACTTGGGGAGAGCAGGGGAGACATGCAAGGGGCAGAGGAAGAGTGAGGAGCAGCTGGGGAGGAGAACGGCTCTTCTCGCCAAAAGGAGAAGCGGCAGTAGAGGGGAAGAGGCAGTGGGGAAGGCACATTCCATTTTTTGTTTTTGTTTTTTTCTTCGGCGGCACTCCAGCCTCATGTTTTTTTTTTTTTTTTTTACTTGGGGCGGCCGGAGCCGCCTTATGATCGCGTTATATCCAAATTCGCATTATCGCGGGGCGCGTTATAGCGGGGTTTCCCTGTAATTAGCATGTGCATATATATTAAGTATTATAATAATATAAATATATATACACTATATAATGAGAAGTGAAATTGAAATCTCTGGAATTTTTAAATGGGTCTCCTCTGCTGATTTATTGTACTTTAAATGAATAGATATTTTGTGCTTGAACCTATTACATTTTTCTCTATATTTTAAATAGAACCTATTACATTTTCTTTACATTTTAGGAAATATTAGACTAACCATTACTGAGAAATCAATGACAAAATAGAAGCAACTACAAAAGAAAAAAATCCACGTGTGCTTAATGTATTTTTTGTAAAACTGAAATAGCAAAAATGAAACTAAACAAGTAAACAAAATCCCTAGGGGGGAGGGGGAAACACATTGTAAGCGTCTTCCCTTATTTTATGGTGGTACAGTAATAAACATTTTTAGAAAGTGCCCAGTGATTTTTGGGTGCCCAACTTTGGACACCTTCACAGGGCCTGAATTTAAGGAAATACTAGGCACCTACCCTTTCAAAATGTGGCCCTTTAAAGGTGTGTCAGATTGGGCAATGGATGCTTTTGAAAATAGTTGGCCTACAACACAGACATGTTTAGAGGGTATGGTCAGGTCAGTTCATCTGAGGGTTACCTGTGTAGTGCCAATTAATGGGAATTCTGGAGCTATATACCCTTTTCTTTTCCATATCAAAAGGTTCTATGAGAAGAAAAAATAGCTGAATTATCCCACTCAATTCAAAATAGTAGACAAACCCTTTAAGTTATTTTAGGTACCAATATGGCTCCCATTACCATAGTGTCTGCGTGCCTCACAATCTTTAATGTATTTACCTTCACAGCAGCCCTGTGAAGTAGGGAGCTGCTGTTATCCCCATTTTACAGATGGGGAACTGAGGCACAGCAAGACGAAGGGCCAGATTTTTAAATGTATGTAAGCACTTAAAGATGCAGATAGATGCCTAGCGGGATTTTTCAAAAGTGCTTTTGAAAATCCCGCGAGGTGCCTATATATCAATGGTAAACCTGGCCCTAAGTGACTTACCCAAGATAACACTGGAAAACTTTAACAGTAACGGGACCTGAACGTGGGTCTCCCAAGTCCCAGGTTAGTGCCCAAACCACTGGGCCATCCTTCCTCTCTGTATTTTAAAGTTGTATTTTTATCTTTTATAATCTTTATAATTCTGCAGGCTATCCAGCGCCAACTGGAAGAAGTGGAGGAAAGACAGAGGGCCCTAGAGATAAATGGTGTTAAACTGGAGAGGGAACTGCGAGGAGAATCAGGTAAATGGGGCAAGAAATTTGTGATTATTTGGTGCCTCTTTAAAAGCAGAGCAGGTTTTACAACTGTTTTAAAAGTACAGGTGGTTGGAAAATTTTCCCTGAAACAATAAATGAGAGAGAAAATTCACCTATTTTTTTTCTATTTGCCAAGCAACTTTAGATGTTATCAGTTGTGAATTTGTAACTATTGGAACTTGAAGCTGAATCTACTTCCCTCCCATTGTTTAAAATCCTGAGCCTGATTTCATCTACACTACAGAATCAGTGATGTTTCTAGGTCCAGTAACTCAGTTACCAAGCCAGCAGCCTATGCTTAGTAACAAGGTCCTTAACAGCTTTTCTCTGAGTGTCAATAATATGATTGCAGTCAGTGACTGAACCGTGGAAATAACTCAGACAAGCCATGTAAAAGGGCAGTGCGTAGTGAGACAGACCTGAACTATGAAATGCTGTTTTCTTATGGACAGGAGATAATTGGGATTTTTCTCTGCTCCAATGAAAGGTTAGGTTTTAATTAGTCCTGACCCAGCTGTGGAGGGGAGTTAGAGGGTATAAGGTCTCCTCTACATGTCTACATAAGGACTATTCACATTACGGTTCATGCACAGAAGGGTGAGGCACAGATTCATAGATTTTTAAGACCAGAAGGAACCATTAGATCATTTAGTCTGATTTCCCTAACCATGCCTAACGTGATGTCTTTCCCTTCTGCCACATGAACTATTGGACGGGGAGGAGAAGGGGAAAGTAGACAGTGTAAGGGAAGAGTTGAGAGTTAGTAGAGCCATAATGCTGCCTTCCCCAGCATGAAGACCCCGCACAACTGGCCGGGTGCAAGGGGGGAAGCAAGCTACACCTCAGAAAAGGGTGACACGACTTCCCCCCCAGAGCGAGGAGCACAAGAGGGACTGTGCCTCTCGGAGACGCAGCTCTTCTCAGAACTCCTCCTGTGGTCAGCACAGCTTGATGCCACCCTTTTCTAAGGGATGAAATTTCAAGACCCGATCTAACCTTAAGGGTTTTTTTTTTTTTTTTTTTTTTTTTTTTTTAATAAAATATGAACATAAATGGCTGCCCTGATGCAATCTACCTTCTGAGGAGATTTGAAAGCTATTTTAGATGTAAAAGATTGTCTGAAAGCCAGAAGTCATATTGCAAATCTGCTTTTTATATTCTTCCTTGTTACAAACCAAAACTCCTAAATCACTAGTGTGATTTTGTGCCAGGGAGCTACGATGTTTTTTGATGCAACATCCAACACTTGGAAAATGTTGTTTTTATGCTTAGCTGCATAGTATGGTAAAGTCTCTATGTACTTTTTTAGTACTGTATTACAAAACCACCATAATAGCAGCAAAATCATGCTGGGCCCAATGCTGAGTGCCTTACTGAGGTTTTTATTCTCTCTGTGGGGGAGAATAAACTCCATCACTGTAGTACACAAACACTGAAGTAAAGAATGGGCTCTAGTAGTTGTTTGCCCAAGTAAAAACTGTAAGGTCTTCAGTATTTACCCCACTGGTTTATAAAACAAATGCCATACAACGGATCGAACTAATCTATTTCAAATGTTATTTAAAAAGCTAATGTCAATTCATCTGTTAATTTAAAAAATAAAGATTTATAAGATGGCACCCATCTTACTGTCTTTTTGAAAGGAGAATCCCCAAAGGGTTTTTAGTGTTAGGCCTGGTCTACACTTAAAAAGTAGATCATCTTACTTAGCCATGTCATGCAGGGTTGTGAATTTTTGTCCCTGTGCGACCTACTTGGGTAGACCTCTCCCTTCCCCCACCCCAGTGCAGACGTGGCTAAATCGACAGAATAATTCTCTGTCAACTTCACTACCTCCTCTTGGAGAGGTGGATTATCTACATTGAGGGGAAAAACCCTCCTGCCAATGTAGGAAGTGTCTACCCTATGGCGCTAGAGTGGTACAGCAACAGTGCCATCGCTGTGCCGTTGTAACACTGTAATGTAGACATACCCTTAGGTATAGCAAAAAAAAAGTTATGCTCTTCTCTCTGAAAATATGGAAGATCAAAACTCTTCTAACTGTAGGGAAATAGGGATACGTGCAGAATACCAGAATGGATGGCCCAGAGCCACCTCTTGTTCCCATTATTTTGACAATCACATTTTCTAAAGAAAGCTCATCTGCTAAGAGATTGATGCTCCTCATTCCCTTTTCATCCTTAGTAATTTAATTCCTTTCATTAAGATTAGAGTGCTATTTTTTTCTCCCTGTTGATTGTTTTCATGTGGGTGGCCAGCTACAGATGCAGGCACATAGGAAAAGGGGTGAGGACTGTTCTGTTTGAATACCTATTATTGTGTAAAATTTCAGGCTGAAATTCTCCAAACTAGACATCAAAATGTTAATGCTTTGTTGCTTGTAATAACATTTGTGTAATAGTGCAGGATTCAGACAGATAATATTCCATTCATCCTTTTAAAAATGTGCATTATTGTTTAATGAATGACCAGTGCTTATTAGGTTAAGTTGTATTTAAGTAGGCCTGTGCTTATGTAGCTCAAGTGATTTAATAGGTATTATTAAGGTAATTAGAAAATGATCACAGTTAAGCAATAATATTGAGCTGCAAAGGTTGTGAATAACCGAATTTAGAGACAGGCCTGCAAACACTAGTCTTCGGTGACATTTATGCAACTCTCCTCTAATAATTATGTGAGCATGGAATGAAAGGCTCTTTTGTTAGTGGGAGTTATTCATTAGCTACTGAACTGAATTAGAAGAGAACATGCGTGGGTGTGAAACAAACTGCCATGAAGACTGATGAACAAAATGAGGCTTTGATGATCTCGTAATTGTAGTGACAACAATTCATGCATTTAAAGAAAAATTAGAATTAATCAATACTATGAATAATTTTTGGTGGTTCCCCCCTTCATTTACTTTATTCTGTGCTAAATACCAAATAATAAATCATTAATGTACTGCTGCTTTATTTTTTAGTGATATTTGTGTGGGTTTATAGGGATCTTTTGCCTACAACAAAATTCAGTAATGTAAGTTTTGAACCACATTTTCAATTGAAATTTGTATAACTCAAACATTAATTAAACAAGTTGTGAAGGTTGCTAGTAAAAAAAAAAAAAAAAAAAAAAAAATCCGTGCTGAGGAAGCACCATTAGTCCCTCCATATTTCAGTACATCAGTGAATAGCTTTCTGTAGGCTTATGCTTTTATAGATAGTGTACTCAAGGTTTGTTTGCACTGCTTTTTGGAAAAGGGAAGTATTTAAAACTGTAAACAGAGTCAGAAATATTAGACCCTTTGAAAGTGTGTGTGGACAGGAATGTGAGTTTTATACCTTTTTCCCAAAAGAACAAGTGGAAGAAGTTGAAGGAAGAGCCTACTTATTCTCCAACCTTTTGTCTGCAGAAAGATGCTAAGATGGCAGGAAATAGAAAGTTTGAGAGCCATGTTTAGTAAATGCTGTTTTTAAATAGGCCATCTTAAAGTTGTTACTGTAATAAAAAGAAAAGGACATCTTAATTTCTAATGGAGCCTCAAATGAAAGGGATTTGTATAAATAAAAAGCCACCTTTTTGCAAAAACATTTTGCAAAAAGGCAACAAGGCTCGATAAACAAACACAGGAACTGGCATCCAGTTGACCCTAACAACTTCCCTATCTCATTTGGGTGTTGTGGGGATTACTTAGTTTGTTGTATTGTTCTTGGAAGTTACTTAACCGTGCAAGTTAAGTAACTATTGGCATTATTATTAATGATAAATCAATAGAGAAGTTCAGTGAGTAAATGCAATGCAGCTTCAGGACACTAGAGGGCACTCTGTAGGACAGAGAGAGAAAAAACAAAAAAGCTACGTATCAAGTATCGGGGGTAGCCGTGTTAGTCTGTATCTACAAAAACAACAAGGAGTCTGGTGGCACCTTAAAGACTAACAGATTTATTTGGGCATAAGCTTTAGCTACGGTTATTGCAGCTACAGTAGGTGCTTTTGCTAGAATGAGGCATTTTGGCAAACCACAGTGCTGTTTGCTTACTTCAGTTGAAATACGACTCAAATCTTTTATTAGAGGGAGAAAGTGATATTTCATACTATAAGCATGGAAATATTTAAAAAGCAATATTTTTCCAAAATAAGAATATAGCAAAAATTGGGAAGGAGATGGAAGAAGGACAGAGTGTTTACACAAGTGCAGTACATATGCACATCTGTGAAAACAGATTCTCTTGCTAGCAATAAAATAAATGTTCTATTCAAATTTCATTTATAAGAACTGGATGGGGTAAGTGTGTTGTCTGGTTTAAATTCTGGTTGCGTTTCTGGTGTCTGTGTGTGTGTGTGTGTGTGTATATATATATATATATATAAATCCTGCTATATACAGGCATGTAAACTAGACATGTCCCCATTAGAGCTGGTTGGAAAAATTCCAACAAAACGTTTTTTGTCTGAATTTACCGATTCATCCAAATCTATTGACTTTGACAAAGTTCTGCTGGAACCCTGGAATTGTGCCTCGTTTTGTGCCAGCTCACCTGCTCAGCATCTCAGTATCCTGCCTGCCAGACTGCCTCAGAGTCAGGGACCCCAAGGGCTGCCAGAGTCCATGACACCAGGACAGCCCACCAGGCAGACTGCCCCAGAACCAGGACTCCATTGCCTTTTGTGGAGAATTTTGAATTATTTGGTTCCATTCCAAACTAGAATGAATCCATATTTCAAAATATCAAAATCCGCCAGGAAACTGAATTACCTTTCTCCACACAGCTCTAGGCATCATATACCTGTACCTTGCTATTCCAGTTAGACAGCTTTGGCTTTTGGGAATGATAATGCCTAACCAAGATGACAGATTTCTATAAGTACACAAATTTAGCTTCATCATATTTTCAAATTGAAAAAGCGCGAGACAATGCCATTATCTCTTGTGCTGCTGCTCCTGGCCCATTAGGTGTGTTACCTCTGTCTTTCTCCTTCTAGATTGTCTATACTTATTCCTTTTCTCAGGTTGTTCTCTACTCCTTGCCTCAATTTCTAACCTAGTTTAATAACACCCTTGACAGGTTGCCTCTGTGAGGTCTGACCCAGGGACCTCTAAAAACATGCATCCCTAATTGCTTGAACTAAAGGCCCAAGTCCATTAGTTAGAGGTAGTAGCAGTCCAGCCACTAGAAGGGGACAAAAAGCCACCCTGTGTTAGCATGAGTTATATTAGCAAACAAAAAGGTAGTGGCTTAACCTAAAAAATTTTTTGGAAGTCACAGCTGCATTCCTTTACCCCTGAGTCTCTCTCACCTGCCCCCCCCCTCCACACACACACACACACACACACACACACTTTTTCTGTCCCATACTCCTTTCCAGTTCTATTCTTCTCGTACTGCCCTCCCAGGGAAGCAGCAGATTGAAGAGCCAACTGCCATTCTCTGGGTTGGGAGCTGCTGAACTTGTGGACAGCTCATCTCTTTGTGCCTCTGAGCAGTTCAGTGAGTGGTTCTCTCAGCTCTTCATCCAGGAGCAAGATGCACAGAGCTGAAATGCATAGTGTACTGCAGGAGAGGAGGAGTTGCTGCTTCATGACTGATGAAGGCACTGCTCTGGAGGATTTCAACACAGTGGTATCACTATGTTGACAGTGCCAGAGAGATCAGATGTCCTGGGATTCTACTGAAATGCGGACAGAATCCTGACATTGGTGGAACTGGCTGGACATTGGAGTTGTCCCTCAAAGTTGGGACAATCCTGAAGTAAATTAAGACATCTACATCCTACCTATTATTATTATTCACTGTACACGCCGAAAGGGAAGTGCACTGCAGTATGGACGTGACAGACATTATGGAGACACGTTTCCAGCTTCCTCAGTACTACTGTAGTTAGTAACAGTGGGAGCCATATTACAGAGTATTTAACTATCCCTAAATATTTAAAATCTAAAAGCACACCCCCTCCCCACAAGGTCATCTTAGGCAGGATAACTCTTTCTTTCATTTAGCAAAGAAGAAACTGGAAAATTGGGCAGAAGGGCAAGCTAGAAAGGGGGAAAGATGTGTCTAGATCAAGGGGGCTCAGATCTTTTGAAAGCCTCTTGGGCCTAGAGATTTTTTTTTTTTGGCAGGTCTGGCTGGGAAATGGTTGGTAAAATACCAAAGAATCAGTTTAAGGGACGAGTGTGTTAATTTTATAGCCAGATTTTCAAAGGTACAAACAACCTGCACCAAGGGGTAGTTGGATATGGTACACAAGCATCCATTTTAGATTCATCCATGTAGGGGGCTTCCTCAGTGCACTGCATCCTCTTTTGAAAATTTAGCCATATGTATTAATGACCTGTGGGATCCTACTCTTGTGAGGAGTACCTACTTCTAACAGAACATTGAAAGGATAGATGATTATGAATAGAGTAGTTATCTATTGGTGGCTCAGTGTCAAACTGGCAGGACGTATCTAGTTGGCTCCTACCAGGATCTGTCCTGGGGCCGGTACTGTTCAATATTTTCATTAATTACTTGGATAATGGAGTGGAAAGGGTGCTTGAAAATTTTGCAGATGACACCAAGCTGGGAGGGGTTGCAAACACTTTGGAGGACAGGATTAGAATTCAAAATTATCTTGATAAATTGGAGAATTTGTCTGAAATCAACAAGATGCAATTTAATAAGGACAAGTACAAACTACTACAATTAGGAAGAAAATATCATATGCACAACTACAAAATGTAGAATAACTGGCTAGGCCGTTGTACTGCTGAAAAAGATCAGGGGGTTATAGTGGATCACAAATTGAATACGAGTCACCAGTGTCATGCAGTTGAAAAAAAAAACCTAACATTCTGGAGTATGTTAACAAATGTGTTTGATGGAAAACATAAGAGGTAATTGTCCCACTCTACTCAGCACTGGTGAGGCTTCAGCTGAGGTACTGTGTCTAGTTCTGGGTGCCACACTTTAAGAAAGATATGGACAAATTGGAGTCCAGAGATGAACAACAAAAATGATAAAAGGTTTAGAAAATCTGATCTATGAGGAAAGGTTAAAAAAGCTGGGCATGTTGAATCTTGAGAAAAGACAATGGGGGGGGTGGAATCTGAAAACAGGCTTCAACTATATTTAAAGCTACAATAAAGAAGACCGTGATCAATTGTTCTCCAAGTCCACTGAAGGTAGGACAAGGAGTAATTGGTTTAATCTGCAGCAAGGGAGATGTAGATTAGATATTAGAAAAAACTTTTTAAACTATAAGGATAGTTAAGCACTGGAATAGGTGTCCAAAGGGGTTGTGGAATCCCTGCCATTGGAGGTTTTTAAGAACAGGTTAGACAAACACCTGTCAGGGATGGTCTCGGTATACTTGGTCCTAACTCAGCACTGTGGGCTGGACTAGATGGCCTCTCGAGTCCCTTTGAGCCCTACATTTATGTGATGATGGGCTATTCCAGGTCTTAAAACAAAGTTTCACCAATATACCCTGAATGACAGCTTGAAAAGGCCAGTTTTCCATTGCCATCTCTTCTTGTGGGGCAATATTGGCACTCAGTGAAGGAATGCTTTCATCTTAGGGAATCTGTTCTTTATAGAATAGTTGTATCCACTAATTGTTTATAGTCTGAGTTCTTTGGGGCGGGGGCCATCTCTTTGTTATCTGACTCTACGGCACCTAGCACAATGGCATCCTGGACTTGAGACACTACTACAGTACAAATAATAATAATAATAATAAGGGACTTTCTATAGTGCAGCTTTTCTAATCAGTCAAAACATTTATATCACAGATGCAGATTTAAAGACAAAGGTCAGATGGCAAATGAGCTGGGGGCCCTTTTGGTAGGGACTTTGATTAAGAGTGAGGGTACCACCAGGAGGAAGGACCAGTTGACATATGCCAGCCTTGCCCACCCTTAAGTCTGATCTTTCTGATGGAGGTATCCACCTAAAATAGATAAATCAGGTGCTGTGTTAACATAAAAAATGAATTATTTATGCCAGAATAAGGAGCAATTAATTCCAACCATTTCAAAAAGGAGTAGACAAATATTTTAAAAACAAAAAAAAGCCTGCTAATTTTCAAGATGGAAGTGGGATTCTTTTCTTGTATTTATTCCAGCCTAAAATTCAGTTTATCCTTAACTACAATAAACTATAACAATAAACTGTATATCGGGTACCTTGGAAAACTAGTGACAGAAATATCACATCACAAAGGTTCTACATGGTACACATCTAGCCATACAAACAAGGATCATTTAAAGTGGCTTCAAAGCAGTTTGATCATGGAGAGGGAAATCCAATATAACACATTTATTTTTTATATCTCAATCAGATTCAGGCACACAGGATGAAACTCAGCTGTTACATGAATGGTTTGAGCTGGTCCTGGAGAAGAATAAATTAGTGCGGTATGAGTCTGAGCTCTTGATCATGTAAGTAAGAAAACACAGTTTGCCATCAGTAGTAAAGATGTGGGGGGTGGGGAAGTGGACTCATTTTAGGTCCCAGGCATAGGATTTTCCTCTTGATACATGTGGCTCTCATTATTGAGCTAAATTGCCACTTTGTGTCTTGCATAGCATATCGCCATTAGCACACAGAGAGAGTCCACGCTTCTCCTTCTTGCCTTACTGTTTCCTGGAGTTGGAAGTGTGTTAGAATAAATGGACCCAAAGCTACATTCTATTCCAAACACAGATTTGCACTTGAACTCCCCAGTGGTACAGTGGTTTTGATTCTATAGGTCTATTACATAGGACTATTTGTGGATGCACTAATGGGCCTAATGACCTCCCAGGCATTTAATCCACTGGAAAACAAATTGGTCAAGGCACCAAATGGGTGGGGAGTGGAGGGAGATTTCTAACATACCATATATCCGCTTTTCCTTGGCAACACGAGGAAATGAGAAGAAAGATTAAACTCATTTGTGAGTAGAGCTGGGTGAAATGTTTTGGATGAATAGTTTACTCACCAAAAAATGCAGTTTCAGGTCAAATGAAACTATTTCTGAATTTTGGCCAAATCTGGTAAATAGTTTCCGTTGGGGGAAAAAGAATTCTGAAAAAGCTGAACCATTTCCATTTTGGGTTGACCTGAAATTAATTTTTTCCCCAGATATTTTGGTTTGGCCACCAGACTAAAAATTCAGTTATTCATTCTGCTCTATTTAGGACTAGAATACAGAGGCAGAGTGAGTGGTGTCAAAATCTGGGGTGGATTAAAACAGAGTTTGGGTCCATCAATACTTTGGTCATTGTCTTAAAAATGTGCACCTTCGCTCCCACAAATGTTTGTACCATATATGCCTGCCAAGTCAGAGTCAAGTGACTCCCAGCTGCTTCCTACCCCTACTGCTTGGGCTAGGTGGGTGGTGCACTGTAGGTCTAGATGGCATCTCTTAATCCCTGGGTTCTGCTCTAGGAGCAGGTAGATGGTTGGCATTTATCAGTTCCATATTGTGCAGCTGGCCACAAACACCAGGACTGGTTCAATGAGAACAACGAGGACATTTCCAAACTCCTAAGTGACCAGCAGAATGCATTTGTTGAATGGCAGAACGATCTCACTTACATCTCAAAGAAAAATAGATTTAAGTACCTACAGCAGAGGTGGGCAAATAACAGCCTGCGGTCCACATCCGGCCCGCGGGACCCTCCTGCCCGGCCCCCGAGCTCCTGCCCTGGGAGGCTAGCCCCCGGCCTCTCCCCTGTTGTTCCCCCTCCCCCACAGCCTCAGCTCACCCCACCGCCAGTGCAACACTCTGGGAGGCGGGGCAGTGAGTTCCTTGGGCAGCACAGCTGCAGAGCGGGCCCGGCCTGACTCGGTGCTCTGTGCTGCGCAGTGGCGTGGCTGGCTCCAGCCGGGCGGCATGGTTGCCTGTCCTGGTGCTCTGGGCAGTGCGGCTCTAGCGCCGCCAGCCACCAGTGCTCTAGGCAGCGCGGTAAGGAGGTGGGGAACGGGGGGAGGGGGGGAAATAGAGGGCAGGGGAGTTTGGGGTGGTGGTCAGGGGGTGGGGGTATGGATAGGGGTCGGGGCGGTCAGAGGGCAAGGAACAGGCGAGCAGTCAGGAAGGAGGGGGGGTTGGATGGGGCGGCGGGGACAGGGGGAGGGGCTCTAGGGGCGGTCAGGAGACAGGGAGAAGGGGTGGTTGGATGGGGTGGGGTCCCGGGGGAGGGCCATCAGGGGGCGAGAAGCAAGGGAGGATAGGGGGTGGAGGCCGGGCCACGCCTGGCTGTTTGGGGAGGCACAGCCTCCCCTAACTGGCCCTCCATACAATTTCCGAAACCCGATGCGGCCCTCAGGCCAAAGACTTTGCCCGCCCCTGACCTACAGAGCAAGGCCCAGTTTGAAGTGAGGAGTATGGAGGATGAATGGTGGAAAGGAAATCTGAACAAGTTCAGCATTACGCAGATACAAACAATACAGAGATGTTCTTTGACTCTCTAAAAGCAGTCTATGGACCATCTAAATCTGGCACAGCTCTCCTGAAGTTGGCAGGTGGCACAACCCTCATCAAAGACAAGGAGGGAATCATGCAGAGATGGGCTGAACACTTCAATAGTCTACTCAATAGACCATCCATGTTGATCAGCATATCCTTGATCAATTACCCAAGAAATCCATCAGAGGATCTCGACCTCCTTCCAACAGTTGAAGAGGTCATGAAAACCATCAAACAATTGAACTCTGGCAAGGCTCTGGAAAGGATGGTATTCCAAAGTGTACAAAGTAGCAGGCCCAAAGGCTATCGAGATGTTTCACGATATCTTGAGTAGCATTTGGGAGGAAGACGAAATGCCACAAGACTTGAAAGATGATATTATTGTATCCCTGTTGAAAAACAAAGGCAGCACATCTGGCTGACTGAAAACTACAGAAGCATTTCCTTCCTCTGAACAGCAGGGGAGATACTAGCTCACATTCTTCTGAACAGACTCATTGCAAACACATCTGAGGAGAATCTGCCAGAAGCTGAAGTGTGGTTTCAGACCAGGTCGTAGTACTATGGACATGATTTGTCATAAGGCAGGTCCAGGAAAAATGTTTCAAGCAGAACATGGACCTGTATGCTGTCTTCATTGACTTGACCAAAGCTTTTTGATACAGTCAACAGAGAGGGTCTATTGGCTATTCTACATAAACAGGGCTGCCTAAAAAGGTTCATACAAATCATCCATCTGTTCCACAATTACATGACAGTGCAAGTGCTCTTCAATGGTGACTCTTCTGATGCATTTAAAATCTCGAATGGAGCAAAGCAAGGCTGCATATTTGCTCCAGTGCAGTTCAACTTGTTCTTAGTCTGTGTCTCCAACCAAGCCACAAAGGACAGAAGAAAGAAGTATAAGCACTTCACAGATAACCTGAGGAGCGGTCTCGAGTGGGCTGGCATCAGTCTCAAAGAACTTGAGCAAATGGCTCAGAACAGGACTCACTGGCGGTCTCTGACAAAATCAGGATGTAACAGGTTTGAGCAGGATTGACGAAATCATCTCCAAGTCACACATGAAAGGTGCTACATAGTGGCATCATCAAACATCATAGGTAGTCTTCCCATGCTCTCAGTGCAGCTGACTCTGTGCATCAGGGTTTGGACTTCAGAGTTATATGGGTAGCCACAGATGAGAATTGCAACAATATGGTCATCCGTGATGGACTGCCAACATTGTGCAGCTGGCCACATACTACTGTGTTGGGAAAACCTCCAACCACTAGACCCTGATCACAAGGTTTATAATTTAAGGCTCTGTATAAATGTTTATTTCTTATTTGCCCTTTGTTCTTGTGGTATCAGTGCTTCCTGTTGTCTGAAAAGGGCATTTAAAAAAACAAATATAGGACTGTATCAATCAATTCAACACATCAAAATGATGTTATCTGATTTTATTCATGTGTTACTTCCTCTTCCTCAGGGTCTCTCTCCTGTGAGGAGCTGCCCTCAACCTGCCGAATTGTTCAGTTTCTCCTAAGATCAGGCCCCTAGTCATCTTAACAAAGGATAATTGCATATAATTTCACCACACTCAAATGCCCCAAGTGAATGAGGGAAATGAAGATCCTGTGTAATGATGCTATCCAGTTTGTAATGTGAGAATGTAGGAAGAGCCAAAACTTTTGGATCAATCTCACTGATTGTATAGAGAAGATACTGGAGATGGGGGATATACACAGTATACTCAATGACTAGAGTCCATGTCTATAATACCATAATATCTCAGTATGCTGAACACTAGCATTGTTATTCATTTTCTTGACAGTTATTTTAACAGGAACAACAACAACATTTGTCCATTATAGTGGTGGTGATTGTAATAAGAAAAAGGAAATGATTTTACCATTTTCTCTTATTATTTTATGTAATAATAATAATAATAATAATAATAGCATACTCCTGCTGCAGCTCACTATTTTTAGGGAAAGAATGCCCTTCTTAATGTGCATGTACCACTAAGTTTATCCGCCCGAGATCTAAGAAGTAGCAACATAATAAAAGGACAGCAGTATTGACAATGAAATGAGCATAAAATAATTATAATCTTATTAAAAAGGCCAGATCCGTGGGAGCCTGTATATCAATCTTTTTAACAGGTCTGCTGAAGGTTGATTGTTACCTTCTGAGTTCTAAAATCCTTAGAAAATCTGTCAGCTGATTCTTTGCCATTCTTATTTTTGTATCTAGAGCCCAAGAACTAGAACTGGAGGATCACCAAAAAAGATTGGAACAGAAACTGAGAGAGAAAATGGCCATTGATGGTAAAGAAACTGGGAAGTTAATTATATGTTTTGGTCTACAGTAATGGTCCCAATTTACAATAGTGTTTTAACTGCTTGTTTTGCAATCTCCTAGATAGCCTAAAAGATGAACGAGAACTGAACGAGGAACATGAAATTTTTACTGAGATGATGAAAGTGATTGAAGAAAGGGACAAACTTGTATCTTCCTTAGAAGAGCAGAGACTGAAAGAAAAGGCAGAAGATCAGCACTTTGAAAGCTTTATATTATCTAAGGGTTATCAACTCACCAGGACTTAGCCACATGCAAATGTATGGAACTTCAGCTATGTTAACCAACATGGAGACAGTCTTTTGGCAAGGATCTGGCTGAAATTGAAGGAATCATATCATTTTAGTATCAAACACTTTTAAACAGGCTCTTTGCTTGCACAACAGTGTCTCTAGTTCCACACAGATAATTACAGGAAGAAACATCGCAATCTCATTGTCAGCAAAAAGGGCTAGTCATCCTGTGAGATGGAAAAGAACTGAATTCACCTGTGTGATGGACAGTGTGTGAAAATTACACTGGAGCTGTCCATTGTTTTCCTTTTCCCTGTAATTCTATTTTAATTCTGAGAACAGAGTTCCTAGAGACGTAACTACATGATCTGGTACTTTTGAAACAGCAACATTTTCCATTCATTTGTCTGAATCTGTGTGTATTTTTTTCTATTTTGGCATGGTTGAGCCACAATGAACTGTATTCAAGTGTCAAAAATAAGCATCACCAATGTAAAAATCAGGTTAGTGTTTAAAATGTATTTCTAAAGGAGGAGGGGAAGAGTCTTTAGAATACTGACTACACATGTTGTAAATAACAAGTGTAAATGCAAGGTCAGGCAAATTTAATTATCAGGTGTATTTGCAAGCTTGAGTGCACTGTATGTATTGAATGAGGACTTAATACAATATTAAAACCTTACATTATGTAAAACTGTAACTTAATACCAAAGGGATTACTATTCTTAACAAAATGTTGTAGAGTCAGAAGACCTTTTGTCTGTAGCTGACCAAAGTAATCACTGAAATATGCTTGAAGAACATTTTAAAAAATTGATTAACATGTATATGGTAGATTTTGCAATATGCATTCTTCACAAAAGCATGTACTGTATCTCAAAGTTATCACTAGTTAGAGACTTGGAACCGAATAACAACAAGAACTGTGGCAAAATTATTTTCTGCATTTTTATGCTGATAGTTGATGCTTGCATATCAACCACATTGAAACTGCTGCTAAGATGAATGCATAAATAAGACTGTCAGAGCTATATCTGTTGAATGCATTTTTTACTTTAAAAAACATAGAAAAGTGCCTTCTAGCTTTTCTCGCACATGCATAGACATAGCAGTTGTGCAAAAGATTTCCTTAGGCTATGTTTTCAATTTACTGTGAGCAGTCTTCTAAATCTGAGATGATTTTGTAATTTACAGTTGATTGTTTCTCCCAGTTGTATGTATGATAGTCTGAAAATTCAGTATAAGAGACGTGGAGAAACTGGAGGACTGTTTTTGAATATTGTTTTACCTCATTTTCTGACTGGAAGGGTTTACTGTTCTCATTACTAAATGAGAAGTGCTTAAATGCTGTTTCTGCCTACAGTTCAGCAGAGGCAAAGGAAACTCTTCTAAATGTAATTGTAAAAGCTTTAGGCTAATAAAACCCCACTACACACTGGATTTTGTTAAAATAAGTTATAATCTACCTTAGTTTTTGTTACACTGAAATTTCTTATAATACATCTTTTTAAAGATACAATCCAGATTTTATCATCATTCGTGGATTATCAATATACCTCTGTAGAGGGTGAGATAAGAATACTATTGTTCTACAGTATTTATCTATTTATATTTATTTGTATATGTATCTGTTTACAGGAAATACCAATGTCTAATAATATTTTACATAGTTTGGTGAATTCTGTCTGTGCTTTGGATGGCAGCTATGAGATCTACAATAACAACATGATGGTAAAGCCATGCATAGTAGAGCAGGGGATTATATCACTAATGTATCCAATAGGAACAAAATATAAAGTAAGACACAAACAATATCTTCAGATATTACACATAGGAATACATTTCTAACATGATGCACAGGGATTTAGTTACATTACTTCCATTAATCAGTGGGAGAGGCATAGCAGAATCCCTGTGTACATTCTGAATCTATCCTCTAGCATCTTTTTATCTGTTATATGCTTGTATCTGTTATATGCCTGATCTTTGTGAGTCCTCTTCTTAAATTGTCTCTCTTGTTTAAGGTGGACTCAGTGGTATTTACTATTGAAGATGAACTACATATATAGTGAAGACCAAAATTAAATAAATCCCAGGTTTCAGTGCAGACTTGCCTGTGTTTTGAATGCGGGAGGCATTCAGCACAGAAATAAACATTTTTAAAGTTATTTTTTCTCCTTTGAAATCCACTGGCACTTCCTGCTTTGCCAAGGATTTCCTAGATTCTTTTTCCTTCTGGCATCATTGATACCAGAAGTTTTATGCAACTCAATGAAGTCACAGAATGATGCATTCTGGGAAATCTGTAGCCTACCAGGAGGTGCCCATAACTTCACAGGAGTTTTAAAAAGTTATAGCATATTACTTAGCTCAGTGCCTTGCATAGATGAGAAATTCATCTCCAAAATCCAGAATTACATCAATCTTCAGTTTTGTTTTGCAGTTCACCTTAGGAAAAAGAGGCCATTCGTTTTAATTTGTGTTACTGCCACACAGAGAAAAGGAGGGTAGAGAAAAAGGATAAGGAGTGTAGAAATATACAGTATATTTGTATATTGTATACAATATACTTGTTGTCAGGGCCAGCTCCAGCTTTTTTGCTGCCCCAAGCAGTGAAGGAAAAAAAAGGAAAAAACAGAAAAACCCGATTGAGCTGCCACCGAAGTGCCGCCGAAGAGGAAGAGACAGAGTGAAGAGACCCACCACCGAATTGCCGCTGAAGACTACAGCGGAGCTCTTAAGCTACCGCCGAAGACCCGGACATGCCGCCCCAATAACGGATGAAGTGCCGCCCCTTTCTATTGGCAGCCCCAGGCACCTGCTTCCTTCGCTGGTGCCTGGAGCTGGCCCTGCTTGTTGTGATGAGGACATTGCAATCTTCCTTTCACAAAGCGTAACTTCCTCATCCAAAGTAGGATGCATGAATTACAAGTAATCAGGTCAGTTCTAATTTATACACAGATCCTGGAACTTCAGTTTACAACAGATGTGCTTTCCAATAGCAGAGCAGGCAACACACAGGTCTAGAAATGTACTAGGTGCTACACTTTCCTTTTAGCTCTGAAGAACTAGGTTTTGAGGGTAGTTGAGACAACAGGACTTGAGGGCACTCTGCACCTTATAGGGCAAGGTCCATAAAAGGGATAGGCAGCATTTTTCTGTATGCTGACTTAGTTGTAATATGCATGGTGCACAAATCCCCTCTAAATAGCTGGTCTCCTGTGATTAATTGTAATCCCTCAAATGGCAGGGGGAATGCTCCTGCCTGGTGCTATTCCCCCACTGAACCCGAGTACCTCACAAGATCAGATCTAAAATATTTGCTGGAGATGTTTTAGAAAAGAGTAAAGAGTGAAGAACATAAAAAGTCTTCACAGAAGTGTAGGGGTTGGGAGGAAAGAGAATCCACATGCACTGATCATAGGCCAACATGATATGTTTAGCTCAAACTCCAGAAATACATTAAACACAAAGGTTCATGTTTAATTATGAATGTTCTTTCCCATTACTCTGCCTTTCCTGTAAATTGGCTCACTAGCTTATAAGGGATTTATTGACTTTAAATCTTTGGCACTGTTATTGCTGAATAAAATGATGTGATGGACCATATGCCTATGTCTAAATTTACTACATTTGAAAAATTAAAATGGTTTTACTCTTTAATGCCCCTGTGTCATTTCTGTAATAATCTCTCACCCTCCCCATGTTCTGGGTGAAGTAAGTTTTTAGAAAAATCTTTTATGAGGAGAGTAAAGTATATTAGTATCTCACTCCACATACTGGTAATTACAGGTACATTTTAAAAAAAAACAAAAAACCGCAATTTAAATTCCCTTTAGCTTGCACTTACATGCTTTATTGTTAAAAAAAGCACATCTGAGCGATATGGTGTTAAATTCTTCATCCTAGTGCAGTCGGTGACATGCATGTCTGAGGAATTCAGCCCCAAATTCTGTAAACATGACACACAAACTATATCATCTCCCTTGATAGAAAAGGATTCTCTCTCTTGATCAGGAATATGGGATGTCTGTGCTCTCTTCAAAAATGCAGTGACCAAAATCTATAGTTACTAATGCTTTAACTTTGCCACCTGTACATTAGATTGTATCTTATTCTGCAAGTAGTTGTACTGACATCAATGGTACTAACACATGGAATTTGAACTACTGAATGTGAGCAAGGTGGGGAGAGCTGGCTTAGGCAGCACATTTTCTTCTGTCCACTCACCCTCACTTCATCAGTTCTGAACTGATGGATGGTCCCCTCTCCTCAGATGACAGATGGACAGAAGCTGCCTCTAAAAGGTTAGGAGAGTTTTTGGCTGCTTTGAGTTCTCACTTTCCTTCTGCTGTGATATCATTTTCCTTCTCTCTGATCTGCCTCAGAGACGGACACTCAGAGCAGTGGTGTTCCTGATATTGTGACTCCTAAATTCTCAGATTTCCATAGAATGTATCCACCCTCTAGCTTTACTGGAAGTTGTGGGTCAAATTCTGTCCTCATTTGTACCCAGGCAATTGAACTAACTTCAGTAAATGGCTGCCAAGCAAACTGAAGTCAGTGGGGTTGCATTGGAGTAAATGAAGGCAGGATTTGGCTCCACTTGGCTAAATGTTGCTCAGCTCCTTGAACCCTTAGAGGTGGTTATTCTCTCCCCCCGCAAGATCGTGTGCTTCTCCAGCTTGGAAGCAAAGAGGAAGCAGAAAATATGGCAGCCCTTCAAGCTTGTTACAATGTGTGTAGCAAGCTTGTATAGGTTGGCATATCTAGTGATACTGCAGAGCTGGAAATGATATATATTGTTACAATATACAGTCTGAATAGCTCTTCAGGTTTGCACTTTTTTTATGAACACAGGGCATATCATTGTGATTGCTTTGAGGTAGCTGGCTGGGTCCCTCTGAGCAAAAGTGACAACAGTAGTTTACAACATTGTATAATGAGGCACCAGCATTTTTGTTCACTTATATCCAAAATAGACTGCAAATGCACCCTGTGCTGGACCCCAAACTGATGATGGGAGGCAGGTTTTGGCAAAAGCCACTTCCAAAAAGCTGAATTAAGCTGCTTTTTCTATTAAAAATGGGCTCCGTTTTATACCTTAGTAAGTCTTCCCACCATTAAAAAGACCTAGAACTGTGACCATTACATTTTAGACTGTGCCCTGAAGTTGTTTGTATGGTAGTATATTTACATTGTTATAGAGTGACAGCTATCCCTATGGCCTTCATGACAAGCAAATCTCATATGGCTAGAATTTAGCAAATAACTTGTAATGAATAAATTATTCAATGGAATTCACCTCAACTTTAGTTTGCATATTGTGCATGAACAGATTGTGTGGTCTCCTCAAATGTATTAGTTATTCACAATTATTCACCCAATAATTCTTGCAAATAAATCTAAGTCCATAGCTGGTTTGTGAGCAGTTTGTGGCAGGTATTCAATACTCGAAGGTCAAACATTTTTGATTGGAGACACAGATCATGTGGTATGTTTCCATTCACTGACAGGATGAGGGTGCCTCTTACAGTCGGTTTCTAGTGTGAATATCTTAACTACAAATTAGGAACTCACGTTGCACAAATATACATTGAAAATGTTGCCCTTTTGAGCCCCAATCTGAAGTCCACTGTGGGGAGTCCTTCCATAGATTTCAATGAGCTTTGCAGCAGACCCTTGGTGACCATTCTTGCCAGGAATATTCACTTGCTGAAATGTGGCATACAAGGCTTGGGACACAGATGAAGCATATGCATTTGTAAATACAAAGGACTATTCCCAAAAATCTTTCAGTGGTATTTAAGTGAGGCTGTCCCAGTGAGTTCAGATTTAAATAAATATGATAGGGCCTGATTCTAGACTCATGTAACTCTGGCCTATTGTTTATAGTTGACTGTAAGTAGTGACATATATCACTAAAAGCTGTGTGAGCTTATTTATGACATTGTATACAGTAGGCCTCCTTTTTCACCTACAGTTTTTATTTATTAAGTGTTGGGCTAGTTCTTTAGAGGTCCTAACATACAAGATGAGCACACAACATATTTATGAATGAGCTACTTGGAGTTCAACTGTTTTCTTGAAATTTATAATGGTTGTTTTTATTTCTATAGTGCCCACACTGCTGGACATGTTAGGAAGGTATAAAGACAAGATCCTTGTCCCAAAGGGCTTACAAGCTAACCAAAAAATGTACAAACAAATGAATGTGGATGTGATTCAATGGTGAAGCTAAGCATGAATCTTGTTAGTTCTATTTTTTGTTGTTGTTGAGGTGTAGGGGGCTCCTTAGAGGAGTGGGGAAAAAGAAGAAAGGGTTGCCAAAAACTTTTCTTTAATGTTGTCAAGTTATTTTATAGGTATTTGCTCTCCATTTTTTTAGATTAGCAGAGAGAGAAGCAAGTAAAACTTAGGTGGATATGCACTGTCACCTAAGTATCCTCTCTTAATTTGCTGTTAGCTATTAACAAGCTTACAGAAATAATGAGATGAATGCTTAGCAATTAGCTGCAAAGAGTTGGCAGGTCAAGGCTTCAGCAAATGGTTGATTGCAAACATTCAGAAATATATGTAGGGTGGGATTTTCAAAAGCATTCAGAACTGGCCTAATTCTGCTCTCACTGAAGCCAATGAGAATGTCACAACTGACTACAATGAGAGCATCAGTATGCCAACACTGAGTGATCTTGAAATTCCACTCAGTGTCTGAGGACCATGTGGTCTAAAAGTTAGAGAAAAAGTGTAGTTAGAAGAAACATGTTGGCCTCTAATCCAATCTAATTTACTGTGTGACTTTGCCTTAGTCAGCCCAGCTTGAACCCTGTGTTAAATACCAGAAATGTAGTGAAAACCAGATATGACATCAAAGCTGATCTTTCTCCTGTGAATCAGTTATCTGAGGCCACATATAAATATAAGCTGTGGTATTCTTTCTGCTAATCTAGCTCTCCTTCCTATTTGCCTACCAGTGGTTCTCAAACTTTTTTTTTCCCCATGGACCACTTGAAAATTGCTGAGGGTCTCAGTGGACCACTTAATGATCTTTCCAAGTACTGTTTGTACCATTAGCAAACTATTGTAAAGCGCTTTGGATAAAAGCGCTATATAAAAAAACCTTAATTATTAACTTTTTTTGTTCTACAAATAAAAACACAACTCATATTTTAATATCAGTAGTCTTACCTTTCTAATGCGATGGATGTGCCCTCTCTCCCCCGCTGCAGCAGCCCCTGAGCTGGGGCTGGGAAGGAGGGGGGGTCTCTCCCTTGCCACAGAGCTGGGGCTGGGAAGGAGGGCTGTCTCTCCCCGGCAGCCACAGCCCTGGAGCTGGGGAAAGTCACCTCTTTCTCTGGCCACCACAGCCCTGCATGTCCCAAATTCCCCCCACTCCCTCTTCTCACCCCACTGCCCCCTCCACCCACCCCCTATTCCCCCCCAAGGCCACCACCTCACCTTACATGTGAATCTTCTCCAGGGTCCAGGCACCTAATTAGTGGAGCCACACCTGCACAGCTCCACTAATTAGGTGGGTGGCCCTTCATTCTCTTCTGTGTGGCCGCCCAGGTGCGCACCTTAGAGGGAACTATCCGTGAACCACCTGAATGGAGTTCATGGACCACTGGTGGTTCGCAGACCACAGTTTGAGAACCTCTGGCCTAGACTATAATGAGCATATTATTCTATTCCTCTCAGCTTATTGAGAAAATTAGTTTGGATAAAATCCTTCCTTCACTGCAGTTGTACGTCATTCTAACTTGATCACTCTGAGCGATATAACTCTGTGGTAACCTCAAAAAAAGCCAGATATGAAGGGCTGTATAAGAAGGAGCATATGACTGTGTAGATATGTTTTTTTGTGTGTGTGAGCCCTAGGGATATTGAATGTAAAAAACCAAACAATCTCTCCCCCCATAAACCCACTAGACCTATATTACTGCAACTTTATATAAGGTTGAGAGTTTACACAAATAAAAACTGAGAAAGTTAAAGTTGTTTTCTACATCAACCATAACTTCCCCCTTATGCATATGTATGTAGTCTTTGTATTATTGTATGTAGTTTCAATTCAATGTTCTATATATGTTCCCAGACAGAAACACTAAGTTAAGATGGAGGGTACGTAGCAGGTAAATTAAGGCTAAAGAACATTACAGTGATGTAATTATTCCAATACTAAGAATTTCAAACCAGGAAATTCAGAGTGAAAGTTATACTTAAAAGAATTCCAAACATGTTAAGGTAAATGCACAATTAAAGCACCCCAACAACCATAACTCTGCCACTATAGTGTCCCCAGGAAATAACAATTGTTATTAAGGCAATTTAATATTTGTGGTCTCAAATTAGATTAAACTGATTTTAAAGGCACATTCATTTTTTTCCCTCCCCCCTCTCCACCTCCTGGCACCAAAATCTCTCCCATAAAAGATGTTGCATAATATATTATTCTGAATTAAATGTTCATATTTTGAAAATAAAGAGGAAGACCAGGTAGAAAAAAGGTACCGGGGCTTTTTAGTTGAACAAGTAACCTGGCAATTGAACATTCAGTTCAGATTTTGCATGCTAGAAGGCTATGTGCCCCAGTATGCATTGTAGCCGGCAAAATATCTGATTTGTCCTTTCTGTCTTTAAGATGGAATCTGGTGGCAGAAAGGCAGCCAGACCTGCACTTGAAAAAAATCTTTTTAATCTCCTGTGCCCATAAGATTTACATCCATAAGCACGTATTTACATGCATAAATTAGGTATAAATTGGAATCTAGCTGTGTAATTATGTGTAAATATCCAGTCCTCCTTTGTGTGCTCATATGAAGGTCTTGAGGCTATATTTATTTCTCTCTCCTCTTTTAGAAAAGTCTCTAACTACATCCTTAAAAAAAAATATTTAAAGCACCTGCTGACCTAATCCACACAGTGTCTGAGTAAACAAAACATCTGAAAAATAGAATTGATTTTAGTAGCATGTGAAACCCTGTAGAATATGCAGATAACTGTTCAAAAATACGATAAATGTTATGAGTCAGAGAGAGCAAACATAAGGAAATGTGATATCCTGCCAACCCTCAAGCCAATGCCACTTTTAGAACAATGGCACTGTATGGCTGTATAATGTTGTTCTCTAGGGCATGTGCAAACAGTATACAGTAAATACTCATTTATGTCTGTCTCTCATCGGATACTCACCGTTACTGACTTGTAAACACAATTATTAACTGATTTAGCAATATCCTCATGGTAATTTCATTTCACTTATTATGCCTAATGGATAGCCAGATATTTGCATGAAGTGTGTGTGGCTTTTTGCCTAAATTGTTAATCAAGTGATTAAGTGGTAAGTGAAAGTAGCACATCCAGATGACACTAATGTTGTCCCACTCCTGGGCCTCTCCTGAACAGACTGCCAATCATGGTAAACTGTGTGGTTTTTATTATACTTTTCTTCCAGGCTACTTGTTTACAAATCAATTAAGAAAACAGGGACCCAGTGCTTCTCCTTAATGGGAAATATACTAGAAAGCGGTGGTTTTTTTTCATATACATATATTTGTCACATTACTGACTTTTCTTAGTTTTGTTATTTTTCTTACTGTATATGTAATACATGTTGCAGTTTTATGTTTCTTTCTTATCAGTGAAGTATATTGTACCCACATGCTATGGTGATGGATGCAACAGAGGGGAGTGTGTGGAGAAATATAGTTTACGATAGGGCTAGGCAACCTATGGTGAGCTGATTTTCAGTGGCACTTACACTTCCTGGGTCCTGGCCACTGGTCCGGGGGCCTCTGCATTTTAATTTAATTTTAAATGAAGCTTCTTAAACATTTTAAAAACCTTATTTACTTTACATACAATAGTTTAGTTATATATTATAGACTTACAGAAAGAGACCACCTAAAAACGTTAAAATGTATTACTGGCACGTGAAATTTTAAATTAGAGTGAATAAATGAAGACTCAGCACACCACTTCTGAAAGGTTGCCAACCCTTGGTTTATGAGATGAAAGCTCATTTGGAAACTTGAGTATTAACTTGCAGAAAGCTTGATAGTGTTTTCTTATTAGCTTGTTGTCTTTCTTGGTCAGATATCGTGGAAACATTCACCTTAAACTGTAAGCTTTTCCACCTACTTTCAGAATTTAGGAATACTGAGAGTAGCATTTAGTAATCTGGACCATGACCCTGCAAACACTTCAAGCAGCTGAGTAGTTCTTTTGGTTTAAATGGGACTAATCTCATGTCATCTGTAAAGTTAAGCACGTGTATATGTTTGAAGGATAAGGGTCTGTTTGTGGCCCAAATCCCAACCTGATGAGCACAGTATAAGGATCTAAATAGGATGGAAGAGAAGCCTGAGTCGTGGCTGAGGAGCACTTGGTGCACCTTTGAGTGGGAAAGAAGGGCATGTCAAGGTGGCTTTTAGCTAACATTTTGTGCCCACCAGCCTTGGGGCCATGTGGGTACTGGCCCGGACCAAGTGTTAAATTAGAGAAACCTGGCCTGATCTTGCTTTGAAAGATTAGAATCTGATCCCTTGGGGATTGTCATAAATTTATTATTCATCGTGTCAACATCTCTACAGAGAAGCAAAAGTAAGTCCCCTGCCCGGCTGAGGGCCCAGTTCATGCACTTAATATCAGCAGGGTACATCTCAAGTAGGATGCACCTGCCTGGAAGAGAGGGGGGTGGTAGATCTTCCCCTCTTCTGAAAGCTAAGCTCCTAGTGCAGTAAACAAGCCAACCGCCCAGCCCGGCCCGCTGCCCCCAGGAGCTGGGTTGGCATGTGGCAGTACACGGCGGGTAGAGGCTGAAGTTCCTGGCGTGCAGCAGGGGCTGAGTGAGCGGGGAGCGCACAGAGCGGCCTTCCGTGGCGCAGTGCGGGAGGGCGGGAGGGAAGGAGAGAGCAGGAGCTGCTTGAAATGCTTGAAATAATTCCGCTTCCGTTTGGAGCAGGGAGCAGCCTCTCGCTCCAGCTGGGTTTCAAACCTGCCTCCCCTCAGCCCTGAACTCGGGCGCGGCATGGCAACCTCTCCCCCGAAATCCCCCTCGGCCCCCAAGTCCCCCCCCACCCCCAAGTCGCCCCCGTCGCGGAAGAAAGATGACTCCTTCTTGGGCAAACTTGGCGGGACCCTGGCCCGGAGGAAAAAAGCCAAAGAAGGTAAAAGGGCCAGGTTGGCCCGGCTCCTGGCAGCGCCCCGGGCTGGGCGGCTCTGGGGAGGGGAGAGGGGCTGACTCAGAGGGCTCGCTGGGGTGGGGTGGGGAGGAGAAGCAGGAGGGAGTGGTCGCGCCCCCCACCCACCTCCCCGCGCGCTTTGCCCTGCGCGCCCCTGGGAGCGGGAGCGGGAGCGGGAGCGGGGCGGACGGGACCGTGGCGCTCGGCGCGCTCTGCCCCGCAGCGGGGCGGGAGGCTGCGGCCGGGCCAGTGGGCTGAGGGGCTGGGTGCGCCCGGGCTGCGGCTCGCGCTGTTTTTTCCTGTGGAACGCGTCACGCTCCAGAAAAATGCTGGAGCCCCAAGCGGGGGCGGGGGATCGGCTCCTCTAGGGCTCATCCCCCCCCCCCCCCCAACCTGAGCGCGCTCCGAGTGCCCTCCCCCCACGCCAATGCCCCCTCCCTGCTCCTGCCTTCTGCACCTCCGAGCGCATCATCGGCTCCTTAACTATGCGTAGCCTCTGCCTTGCTTTGCTCGCCCTAAGCCGCTGGGGCCGGGCGGTCTGGTTTGGCGGAGGCTGGCAAGCCGGTTAAACTCGTGCTCTGGCTAAGAAGACAAGGGTTGTCTTTAAGGCAGACTCTGGGGTGACAGGGCCTCTTTGCGCGCTCCTCGGTGGTGCTGTGCTGGGAGGAATTTCTTCCCAGAATGGGTATAAAGCAGTGAGTGTGTGTGTGTGCATCTCAATTTATGTTCCCTGGGAAAATGTGCAGTTGGCAGCTGGACAAGGCAAGCCTAGAGGGCGATTTGTGTGTTTACATTGCTGGAGCTGCTTGCGGCGTTCAGGGAGTGGAATTTGTAGAGTTTTTGAAACGTACCTTAAGCTTCATTTTTATCTTCATTTCAGAGCTGATTGGAGAATCTAGCGATTACAATTACGAAAGAATAAGGAGCCAAAGGGGATTGTGTGAGGGGATAATGTATTTGGGCTGAACAACCAGTTTCCTATAAAACAGAAGTAAAAATCATGAAAAGGATGGCAAGGACTTCTCACTGAGCTTTCTTACTAATATTCTAATGAAATGATTCCTAAGTGGCTGTTTGGGAGATGCACAAATTAAAGACTTGGGGGTGGCGGGGTTTTCCAGGAATGTAGGATCAGATTTAGGTGGAGCAAGGGAAGATGTTGGATGAACACTTAGGGAATTTATGCCATTTCACTAAAAGAGATGAAGTGCCAAAATAAAAATAACATACACATAATGGGTCTGAATCAGGTATATGGCCACATTCTGCTATGCCACCAGTGTGAAATGGCCCTAAAGCTGTCTTTACTAGTGCATGGAGGATACCTTTCTCTGCAGATCTGTCCTGTTTATGCAGCTATCCAGCTTATACAACTCTTCTCACTGTAGTTCTTGTATCTACTCTGGTATAAGGGTGATCCCCCCCATGGCTTAGAATTAGTTTTGCTGGAGGAAAAGGTGCATTGGCAGGTTGCCCCGGGCCACACCAAATCTCTGCTTTTGGTTTTGTTCCCTTGTAGCAATCTGGCATAAGCTGGAGCAGACCTTAAGCATCTCTAACTTCTTGCAGGGCCCCAGCAGGAATAGTGCAAAAGTCAGTTTTGAGCACCCGTGCCCTGAACTGTGCTCTGTGCAAATCAGCCACAAACCAGAATCTGGACCAGTATATTTAAAATGTAGGTTGTAACGCTAACTGAAAAAAGCAAGTTCAACACTAAGGATGATCATACCCTCCTTGACTTGCCCTGTTATGGCAAGATGTGGCAGCACAGATTACTTTATGTACAGTTGCATGTTGATCTGAGAGGTTGGTGGAGTATCGAAGCATAACAGGAGGAAATAACAGTGTTCTACTTAACTTAACATTTCTTTGTTTCTGTTGCTTTATGTCAACAAAATTATACAGTTAATTTCCTTTATTTTTCTCATTTATTAAAGAAAAATATTTAAAGAAATGCATGAGATTAAAGGACCTACATATATATGTGGTATATATTGTACACACAAATGATTCTTACTACAGTGTGGATTTTTTGTCTGAATCATATTTTTCACTGTTTACAGCTTTACAAATGATTTCATTTGACATAGCGCACATTTTACTAAACATGTTTGATGATATTGATCTCAAAACAAAGTAAAATATTTTTCTCTCTTTAAAGTTTTCTTGTAGTCTGTGACCCTCTCTCAAAGTAACTCATGATTAGACTGTTTTTTAAAAAGTCTAGAATATTAAAAGAAGAGACCACCTTTTCCACTGTCAGATTTTGTATGAGCCTGGTATAGTGATTAAAGCAGGGGTCTGGGAGTTTTGAGTTCTATTTCTGACTTTACTGATGAGTCACTTTAGCCCAGATCCACAAATGGACTCAGGTACCTACCTCCCCACTTGGGAACCGAAGCCCAAAATTTACATTCCATTGAGATCCTCAAAACCCCTGCTTGGCTGTAAACCTGGGATGTGGGAAACTGAGATTCAGTTTTGCCCTTTGCCTGATGAGGAGAAAGAATTTAAACAGGGGTCTCCCACCTCTCATGAGAGTGCCGTAACCACTGGCCTATGGGATATTCTGATGCAGGTCTCTCTGTTTCTCCTATTGAAGCTGTTCTACTTTTGCTAAATAATTAAATAGTCATTGGAGTAGGGGAACTGGACTCTGGGTCTTCCACCTTCTAAGTAAGTACCCTAACCACCAGGCTGTAGAGTCATTCTCACTCTTTCTTTCTGTTAGTTAATGTTGGAATAGGAAATATTTCACCCTCAATATATGACATGAATACGATATCCAGCTTTGTTCCAAATACACCTTTGAAATATGTACTGAATTTTCCCTCACCATTATGGGCAATTTTACCATCTGCATCTGTGCAGGTAAGACTCCCCTTTTTCCTGATAATTTTTTTATAATTCCTTATTTTCAGTAACCCTACTGGCCATAGATGTTTAGCTGTTACATTTAGCTTCCCTTATCAGTTGCCCACATTTCTTACTTTCTGACTTGTTACTTGCCATTAACTGCAACTTTCCCCCCATTTGTTATATATTCATTTGTAAGTGTTCTGAAACGATTGCTAATTTTCTGTTTAGATTTTTTATCTCAATCAATTCTGCTCATAATTATTTTTAGCTTTAGTAATTGGACCCCTTTAAACCTCCAAGTATTTATATTACTGGCTGGGACTGTATTCTGTTTGCACAAAACAAATGTAATTAGGTTACAATCACTTGCACCTAAGCCATCACTTTTATTTACTTGATCAAGTCATCTTTGTCAGTCAAAATGAGGTGTAATATTGAAATACCCTTTGTTGGGTGCAATACTACTTGTATTAGAAAATTCCCTATAATTTATAGAAAATCCAATGATTTTTTTTACTGCTGGCAGCATGAGACCTCCAGCATATGTCCCCTAAGTTGAAGTTCCCTTTGATTACATGTTTTTTCTTTCTACACATTTGAAGTAGATTCTTAAGAAGCCATTTGTCCTGTTCTCTAGTCTGATTTAGTGGTCTGTCAAACACTCACCAATATCTCATTTTGTACCTTATCATTTAAAACATTGATCCATAAACATTTAAGATCCTGTGATTCCAAGATGTCAATCATCTAAAACAAGTAATGGTATCTTTGCTGGAGAGTGCCACCCATCTCCCCTTTTACCCTCTCTAAACAGTGATTTTAACATTCCAGTCATGCAAATTCTCCCACCAGATTTCTGTAATATCAACCGTGTCAGTTTATTCTCATGATTTAACAGTTCTTCCACTTTATTATCCAGGCTTCTAGCACTGGGATATAGCAGTTAAAGAAAGAGTGTATTCTCTTTAAGTGTCAATGGGACTTCTGCTCACATAGATGCTTTTGAAAATCCCACCCTTTATCTTTCTTGTTACATAATATGTTTATATCTTTGTATACATCATATTGTTACATCTAGGGCAAGACATTTTAAATTATTTCCCCTGGCTCTTCACAATAAAGATTAAAAATTAGCAGTAGTTCTGAATGATTAAAGAAAATATATTTTACCTATTGTAGGTATTATGATAGGCTGTTACATATTAAGACTTTTTGTATTAAGTGTTTAGATAACGATTGTAAATAATACATCATACATATCCAAATGTGACTACACAATTGTGTCATCAAAAAGTCCTTTGACACAGTCAAGACAATATTGAACTCTTTTACAAATTATAACAATAAAGGCAGTGCTCAAATAGTCTGCCAAATCAAAGTCCAGTTGGCATTTAAAATGTCTGTATGGTGAAGAGTTATATAAAAATAAACTAAGGAAACTGCTTGTGAAAGCAATACTAAAACCTACATCATTCCAAATGCAGGAAAATAATTTGTTTAGAATACCAATATAAAATTCCTTTACATGAATATTTTGCATTTAGTGAACTTTTCCTTCAAGGACTCGAAAGCTCTTTGAAAAGGTTGGTATTATCCCTATTTTATAGATGAGGAAACTGAATGATCTAAACAAGTTAAGTGACTTCTCCAAAGCTACACTGCAAGTTCAGTGGCAGAGCAAGGAATAATACACGTTATTCAAAATAAAGAAATACTTGACAGACTATAAAGTACCATGCCAGGATCAAAATCAAGAGAATAACCTGAGATGATCCTACCTAATAAAGCTGATTTCAGCTATGGTCTGAACAGATGTTAGTGCCGCAATAAGGAAATGTTTATATGTAAAATATATCGTCACTGAAATAATTTTTAAAACAATTTTACAGCACCTAAATTTTGGAGATGAGAAATGCAGTTTGCTTTATACAATGTGTTAACATCATTTCCTCTCACATGGGCTCTTGTACTGTATTTGACTGGCAATTTGTCATTGGCCATTGGTGTAGCTTAAGGATGGATAACTAAACTCTTAATGTTGGAGCTAAAAAGGCTGTTTCTCTGATAAGATAAAAACTCTTGTAATAAAAAGGTTATACTTTCTGTTAACTGTTGTATCCAGTGAC